AGTGCCAAATTAAAGTATTATTTTTTAATCAAACTATAAAAATTATAGGTTTAGATATAAAATCTTGTATATGATAATCCTTACTTAAAAGCCAAAACAAAAACCAAAAAACAAAGAAATATACACACAAAGAATATTGAGATTTGACAGTACAAAAAATGAATACGACTGGGTGCACTGGCTCATGCCTATAATCCCGGCAGCTCGGGAGGCTGAGGCAGGAAGATCCCTTGAGGCCAGGAGTTCAAGACCAGCCTGGGCAACATCTCTAAAAAAAAAAAAATAATAATAATAAAAATCAGCTGGGCATGGTGGCACATGCCCATAGTCCCAGGTACTGGGGACGCTGAGGCAGGAAGATCACTTGAGCCCAAGAGTTCAAGGCAGGAGAGAGCTATGATTGTGCCGCTGCACTCCAGCAATAGAGACAGACCCTATCTCTTAAAAAAAATGAAAGAATATGTCAAAATAAAAGCAGGCAAAACACTAAATGCTCATATGTGCTCACATAACACACGCAAGGATCATCACTATAGCTGTTTACAATATCGTAAGATAAAACTTATTTAATCACTAGAGACAAGGGTAAATAAATTATGTACATCCAACAGAAAATTATATACCTACTTAAAGCAATAAGGTAGTTCAAAACATTCAGAAGTATACAAACACATTGTCTATATATATTACCATAAACTTACCTTCAAATCTTTGCACACTAATCTAACTCAATAGTCAAGTCCTATCTTGACTATCCTATTTAAAATAGCATCCTCTCTTCCGGTACTGTCAATATCACTTTATCTTTTCCAATTCTTTTTTCTTTTTTCCATAGCACTTATTACCTTCTAGCATTCCATGCTATTTATTTATCATATTTATTGCCTTTCTCCTCCTAGCAAAATGTAACCTGCAGAGGAGCAGGTATCTTCATTTGTTTTTTCATTTATCCTAAGCATATAGAATAGGTCCTGGCATAACACAGGTTCTGAAAAACTCATCTTTAAATAAATCAATATACAAAGACATGGTAAATAGTTGACCTTAGAGAGTATAACTGGGGAACTGAGAGTGATTGAAAGAGATCTTTAAAGAGTACTTTTTTTATATATTGCATTTTTTCCCTGTATGAAAATATATATTGTCTATTAGAAAACTTGTAACGATGTTTCTGTATCTAAACATACCTAAAAATAGAAAAGGTACAGTAAAAATATGGTATCATAATCTTATGGGCTTGACTGAAAACTCGTTATGCAACATATGACTGTGTGTTATACAGACAATAAATGTATACATGTATTATACATATGCATATTTATACGTATATAAATACAAATACACACATACATATGTAATAGCACTGGTTACTATTAAGAACAGTGAGATTAGGGAGGTATGAGAGAGTGAAGACTTATTCATTTTTTTTTTTT